CAAAAATTCCTGAAAAATTCCTGAAAAATTCTTGAAAAATTCCTTAAAAATGTCGAAAAAATCCCTTCAAAAATTCCTGAAAAATTCCTGAAAAATCCTTTAAAAATTCCTTAAAAATCCCTGAAAAATTCCTGAAAAATTCCTTAAAAATTCTTGAAAAATTCCTTAAAAATGTCGAAAAAATCCCTTCAAAAATTCCTGAAAAATTCCTGAAAAATCCTTTAAAAATTCCTTAAAAATCCCTTCAAAATTCCTGAAAAATTCTTGAAAAATCCCTTAAAAATGTCGAAAAAATCCTTTAAAAATTCCTTAAAAATCCCTTAAAAAATTCCTGAAAAATTCCTGAAAAATCCCTGAAAAATTCCTGAAAAAGTCCTGAAAAAAATTCTTAAAAATTCCTGAAAAAATTCCTTAAAAATCCCTGAAAAATTCCTGAAAAATTCCTTAAAAAATCCTTTAAAATTCCTGAAAATTTTCTTTAAAAATTCCTTAAAAATCCCTTAAAAAATCCCTTAAAAATCCCTTAAAAAAATCCCTTAAAAATCCCTTAAAAAATCCCTAAAAATTCCTGAAAAATTCCTTTATAAATCCATAAAAATTCCTTAAAAAATCCTTTAAAAAATCCCTTTAAAAATCCTTTAAAAATCCCTTTAAAAATCCCTTAAAAATCCTTTAAAAATTCCTTAAAAATCCCTTAAAAATTTCTCCAAAATTTCTTTAAAAATCCTTAAAAAGTCCCTAAAAAATCCTTAAAAAATCCCTTCAAAATTCCTTAAAAAAATCCCTAAAAAAGTCCCTAAAAATCCTTAAAGAATCCCTTCAAAATTCCTTCAAATTCCCTAAAAAAAATCCCTAAAAAATCCTTAAAAAAATCCCTTCAAAATTCCTTAAAAAAATCCTTAAAAATCCTTAAAAAATCCTTAAAAAAATCCCTAAAAAATCCCTTAAAAATTCCTTAAAAAATCCCTAAAAAGTCCCTAAAAAATCCTTAAAAAATTCCTTCAAAATTCCTTAAAAAATCCCTAAAAAATCCCTTAAAACCCCTTAAAAATCCTTAAAAAATTCCCTAAAAACCCTTCCAAAAATCCCAGGCATCGGCCCCCGCACCGCCCAGCGCTTGGAATCCTTGGGAATCCGCCGCCTCCCCGACCTCCGGGATTATCCGACAGACCTCCTGGAAAAGGAATTCGGCTTTTCCGCCGCCCGGACCCTCCGGAATCTCAGCCTGGGCCAAGACAATTCCCAAGTAACTCCCTCGGGACCCCCCCAGGTACCAAAACCCCTCAAATCCCTCCAACATTCCCAACTTTTCCCGGGAATTTTCCCATTTATCCCCGTTTTTTTCCCAGTCTTTCAGCGACGAAGATTCCTTCCCCCGCTGCTCCTCGGCGGCCGAAGCGGCGGGAAAACTCCGGGAATTGCTTCCCAACCTTTTATCCAGGTGATTATTCCCTAAAAAATTAAGGTTTTCGACCTTTTTTCTCCCAATCAGGGAATTTTTTCCCATCTTTTCCCGGTTTTTCCGTAGGATCTCCAAGGATGGGAGGCGACCCCGCACCGTCCGCTTGACGATCCGGAGGGTCGATTCCCGGGAAAACGGGAGCCGGCGGGAAAGCCGGCAGTGCCCCCTCCCCTCCCACCTCGTTCCCAGATTTGGGGAGGGTAAGAATTCCTGAAAAATTCCTTCAAAATTCTGGAAAAATTTCCTTAAAAATCCTGAAAAATTCTTGAAAAATTCCTTTAAAAATTCCTGAAAAATCCCTTAAAAATTCCTGAAAAATTCTTGAAAAATTCCTTTAATAATCCTGAAAAATTCCTTAA